CTGAAAGTTCACCCAGGCTTCTGCACTGATTTTCAAGCAAACTTCAACAGGGCATAAAAGAAAAGAATAAAGCTAAAACAAACAAACAAACAAACAAACAAAAACCCCAACTCTGATCATGCTTCCATTCAGCATCAGAAAATTCAGAGGTGGTAGCAGGGAGAAGAGATAGGAGAACAAATTCAGTGGCTGAGAAGCTCTGCAAAGTGTCTCTCAGGTCCTACCTGAGTCCCTACAGCACCACAGAGAAACACAAAGGCCTGGGGAATGTTCACCTGCAGCTTAGATGGCTTCCCCTATCAACACTTTGTTTTAATAGCCCAGGATGCTCTCCCCAGAAGAAATATGCATCTTTTGCTTCTTAAAAAGGAGAAGGGGGGCAGGGGGAAGCAAGCTTTGGGAGAAACCCTACCTCTAACCCCTTCAAGATGCAAACTTTCTCACTTCCTCAAAAAAGTGTAGTGCCCTAAAAAGAAGGCTGTCCAGAAAGTCTCTGGAATGCCATAGCCAGGAAGTCAACAGCCTCCCCACTGATAATTTAATGAAAGCTATGAGTTCTCTGGACTCCTCAAAGGAAAAAGGGTAATGGATGAAGGAAATCTTAGAAAAGGTTCATAGCTGGATAAATGCACACTTTCTTTCCTTCCTGTTTTTTTTTTTTTCTTCTTCTTCTTCTCTATAAAGCAAAAACAACTTGTTCACCACTCATGGTTCATTTAATGTTATAAGCTTCTTTGCAGACCTAAGTATCCAGTGAAGATAAATTGGCAATCAAAGCCTAGTCAGAAGTGTATAATAGGCAAACACATAAAACAAGTTAACTTACTTAAATATTAACCTGCAGTCTAAGGGATTTTTTAAAATTTAAAACAAACAAAAGAAATGACAGGCAAAGTGATACTCTTGGAAAATACACATGTACAAATGGCCTGTGCTCTGATCAAATGTAATTAAGCATGGACCTGACTTGTCTTAAATTGTTTAATTGCTTGAGAAATGCATCAGGCTCCCACAAAATCTATTTGATTTTTTTTTTCATCCTACTCAGCACAAACTGAAACACATGTTTAAAATGATAAACAGGCTGGGCAGTGGCTCATACCTGTAATCTCAGCACCTTGGGAGGCCAAGGCAGGAGGACTGCTTGAGCTCAGGAGTTTTAGACCAGGCTAGCCAACATAGTGAGACCTTATCTTCACCAAAATAATCAGAAAAATTAGCCAGGCATGTGCCTGTAGTTCCAGCTACTTGGGAGACTGAGGCAGAAGGGTCATCTGAGCTCAGGAGGTCAAGGTTGTGGTGAGCTGTGCCACTGCACTCCAGCCTGGATGACAGAGTGAGACCTCGATTCCAAAAAAGATAAAAAAATTTAAAAATTTTACTGTACCATGATTAACATTAAAACTACTTCAGAAAGTTCAAGAGAATAAAGCTAAATGCAAACTAGTAGCATAACCTAGATGACTAGTTTGTGCTTGTACTTTTATGACTTTACTAAGGCTTAACAATAAAATGGGGGAGTAGATTGAAAAGTGCCCTCCTTCTTTCCAGAGGTCTCTGAAACAACAAACCACAGTATCAGCTGGTGTTTGCATTCACGGTAATGCAAGATGGAACAGGGGGTCATGACCAACATTATCCATCTATACATTTCATGCCTGTTTGAGGGGGAAAGAGCAAAGGGCAGAGATTACCACAATGAAGACACTCATCATCAAGACAGCTAACTCTGTGAACGCTTATGACTGTGTAACTGCTTGATACATGCAAATTCATTCCATCTCCCTAGAAGGCTAGTATTAGTTCTACTCTAGAGATAAGAAAATGGAGTCACCGTAGTGAAGTACCTTTCCCATGTAACACAGCCAGCATGAGGCAGAGCCAGCATGCAGACCATCCAACTCCCTATACTCAACTGGAGCCCAACTGTATTCAAATCACATCAACTAACCAGTCAGTGCAACTCAATAAGTGAAACAGGTTCATCCTATGCGAAAAGCTGTTGGCCAAGAAGCACGAAGAATGAGGCAATACCACCTAGAACTGCATGTTACGGGGTGGAATGCAAAAGAGATCAGCTAAATCTCCAAAAACATTGCACACAGAGAGATGTTTTGCAGGAGAGATGGCTTCCTCCACATGATTAGAATTGTCAGCTAAAGTGAGGCTCTCCTAAACTAATTACATAGGATGGAAGTACTACGTTTATTATGATTGTTCACTTCTGTTTGTTGTTGTTGTTTGTTTTTAAGAGACAGAGTCTTGCTCTGCCACTCAGGCTAAAGTTTAATGACACAACCATGGCTCACTGCAGCCTTAACCTCCTGGCCTCTAGCAATCCCCCTGCCTCAGCCTTCTGAGTAGCTGGTACTAGAGGGGTGAGCCACCGCATCTGGTTAATTTTTTTGTTTTGTTTTTATTGTTATAGAGTCCAGTCTTGGGTCTTGCCTAGATTGGTCTCGAATTCCTGGCCTCAAGCAATCCTCCCACCTCGGTCTCCCAAAGTGCTGTGATTATAGGTGTGAGCCACCATATCTGGCCAGACTCATGGTCTTTACTACCTCATGGAAAGATAGTTCTATTATATTTCCAACCTATGAGGCAAGTAGTTCTTCATTCCCCTTAAGTTTAAAAGGCATTCCCTGGTCCAACTACTCAAGGATTTGATCCCCAAATCTGTGTTCCCCATCAGTGTCAATCATTTCTCCACTCTCTTTTCTCAGGTAGAAGCTCCAACACCATACCTATAAATTTAGGTGCTGCCTCTCTGCCTTTTTATGCAACATAACATCCTTTTTTGGCCAACAACAGATACGGAATTCCAAGAACCGAGCATCCTGATTTTGTACAGAAGTTGTACTACTTACTTTCTTTTTTTTTTTTTTTTGAATTGGAGTCTCACTTGGTTGCCCAGGCTGGAGTACAGTGTCACGATCACAGCCACCCCAGCATTGACCTGCTGGGCTCCGGCAATCCTTCCGCCTCAGACTTCCAAGTAGCTGGAACTACAGGCGCGTGCTACCACGCCCGTCTAATGTTTTATTTATTGTAGAGACGAGGTTTCCCTCAGTTGCCCAGGCTGGTTTTGAACCCGCAGACTCAGGCAATCCACTCCCCTTGGCTTCCCAAGTGACAGGATTACAGGCTGAGCCACAATCCTGCCTTTATTTACTTTCTAATCTTCTTCTACTGCTGTCTTCAAGGGCACCATCCACAAGAGTTTCCTGACTGATTTCCTATATTGTTACAGGAGGCTTAAGACCCTAATATTTTATTACTAAGATGTTTAAAATTGTTTTAAAACAAACACATTGTTTCATTTTTACCATAACAAATCTCATTCTCACAGCCTTGGGAGATTTGGGTGGACCCCAAGGATACAAGTGCACTCCAACTAAACTTTCTCTGGAGTATAATGTGCGGAACTTTCAGGTTAAAGGGATTTACTCCTCCTATACCACATATAACATGGGTTATGGGGACACCATGTCCTGGCAGCCAGGGCATCCACATAACTGAAAGAACAATGTATGTCCAAAATTAAGGTCTTGGAACAAATGGGAGACCATAAGAAGTCAGGATGTTGCACATGACAGAAATGCAGATTTTAGGAGAAAATGTAATCAATCCAATGTGCTGCAAAAAATTTTGCAAGGAGGGGGAAATTAAGATATATAATATATAATAGTACTTTTTTTTAAAAAAAGTAAGCATTGGATTTGATTGGAAATAGACACTAAAAAATTAAACTCGAGCCCAGAGGTTTGAGAACAGCATGGGAAACTTGGTAAGACCTCGTCTCTACAATAAATCACAAAAACTAGCTGGGCATGGTGGCACGCGTCTGTAGTTTCAGCTACTTGGAAGGCTAAGGCGGAAGGATCACCTAAGCCCAGCAGGTGGAGGCTGTGGTGGCCATAAGTGTGCCACTGCACTTCAGGCTGGGCTAAAAGAGTGAGACCCCAACTCAAAAAAAAAATTAAACTCTCTCATCACTGTAGCCACTGCACTTGCACCCCCAGGAAAAATTAGATGACCATAACTGCCTCTTCCAACAATACAAGTTGCAAAGGTCTGAAACGCTAAGAAATCATGGTTCTCCAATGTAAGTTGGAACTTAAAAAAAATAAAGTACAAGCATTCCAGTAACCAGGTAATCACTTGCACAACTGACCTGAACCACAGCTCAGCTGACAGTGTTACTAAGTCCTGAAGATGCACAATGAGATTAGAGACCTGTCTCGGGCCCTCCGCAGCTTTATCTCCCCCTCTCACTCTCCCCAGTGGCAAAACCACACTGGGCGAAACGGTGCACAGAGGGCACGAAGTCAAAGGTCAAGCTGCCTTGTGCAGCAAGGGGCAGAATCCCAGGATCACAGCAAACTCCCAGTAGGTAACTTGACAAAGTGCTACAAAAATGATGACTATTATTATTCTTTGTAACCCAGCAAGCGAAGAAACCCGGGGGAGGGCGGGGAGACCGTTTAGGAGAGGAAACTACTCTGACAAATGACTGCAGAATTACAAAACAAAACAAAACAGATAAACAAAATCAAAACTGAGCGCAGTCCAGGTCTCTGGAAGCAAATGCCTGTCTGACCCGAGCAGCGAGCAACCAACCACGTTATGCCTGACCCTTGTACACACATAATACTTTCTTCTCTTGCACGGCCAGTTCCAAAGCGCAATCACCAACATTCTCCACGGAACCTTCAGCCTTCATCGGGCCCTGGGGTCCGCCAGAATTTTAGAAACGAGGAAACTGAGGATCTGCCCAAGAACAGCTTTGGGGCGAGAGGAGGAGACTGTTGCGCCTTCACAGGCCCAGAGAGACGCCAGAGAGTTCAACTGCACGGGAGGGGCGGGGTCAGAGTTGCCCGGGGTCCGGCGGGCGGAGCCCCTCGGCGGACCGGCCCCAGCACTGCCGCCGCGGCCTGCCGGCGCTCTCATCCCGGGGTGAGCAGCAGGGCGAACGGGTAGCTGCCCCCCGGGCGGCTTACCTGGGCGATGCCGGCGCCCATCAGCCCGCCGCCGATGACCGTCACGTGCTTGACGATGATCTTCTTGGCAGAGGCCGAGGCGGTGGACGAGGAGGACACGGAGCGGACGAACTGCCTGGTGACGAAGGCCATGGTGCAGCGAAGGCGGCGACAGCGACGAGCCGGGGCAGAGCAGGCACGCGCTGCGCGGGCACCAGCAGACTGGCCACCTCCGGGGGCGGAGATCCGGACCGCCCCGCCGCCGGCGCGCCTGGGCGTCCCCGTGACGTCACCGGGCAGGGGGCGGGGACTCGAGGCCCGCTCCGCCCATTGGCCCAGTCCGCTGGCAACCGAGTTCGAACCTCTGAGCGCGACGGCTGGGTCCACGTGGGCGGGTTCTGACCGCTGTCATTCGTCGCAGACCCAGACGAGCGCTGGACTGGGTCTTGCGGCCGCAGCCGGCCCCTTATTGAATGAAGTGCATAGCGTTGACTTGGCATATCCTAGCCTTTGATGCTTGTGCATATCTAGGCGCTGAATAAACATGTGCTACTTGGCTGTGCTGGTGAATAGACCCAAGATGTGCACCCTTGGTTGATGACACCAAATAATCAACTCTAGGGATTATTTTAATTCCGAGGACAGTGATTGTTTCCACTAAAAAGGAGAGAAATTTAAACTGCTAATGCCTGAAACAAATGTCTAGACCAATGAATTCTAATGCAAAGATCAGGCCCAGAGAAGGGAAGGAGAGAGTTGACCTTTAGTTACCCATTTCAGTGTCGAACGTCTATCAGTTCAATAAACTTATAGACGGTTTAAGGTTAAAGAGCAACCTTTGTGGAGTAACTGATACTATTAGAACGCATAGGAACGGAATGTCTTTCCAAATAATGGAATATTTGATACCGAGTAGGTGAGTCTTCTCACTCTTGTGAATACTTTCTAGCTACTGTACTTTAGTGATGTGGAATTTTTATTATTTTATTCACTTTACTTTTAAATACAATTTCTAAAAAACTTTAGACAACTTAAAATTAGCAAACTTTATCTGAGCAAAGAAACAATTTGCGAGTCAGGCAGCATCCTGAATCAGTTCAAAGAACTCCAACGAGCAATAGTGGGCAGGCAGAATGTATAGACACTGAAAGTAAGTGACATACAGAAATAGCCTGATTGGGTCAAGGCTCATTTGTCTCATTTGGACATAGCTGAGCAGTTTGCAGCCTGAGATTGACTATAAGTTCTGCTGCTATGATTGGCTGAGATTGGGCTACTTGTTACAAGAATATACTCTCATGTTAGATTGCAGTTTCTTTACATATTAAGTTAGAGTACATTTCAGTATGTATGGCAGCAACTTTAGGATTAATTTAATTTAATACTTTCCCCCCTTTTGGTCAACCTCTCAATTTTGGTCAGCTTCTGTCAACTTTGAGAGGCTGACTAAAATCTTGAGTATCATCACTACCTTCTGTCACTATCGCAATGGACTTGTTTGGTCTCAGTATGGAATTCACAATGGCAAATTAGTTGGATGATTATGCTTTCTTTATGTTGTTATTCTAACTATAATGATATCATTTGATGTATAAAAAATGGCTGCATATGACTATTTAAAACTCTTGTGGGGATACAACACATCAAGGAGGCCACTATGATGGCTATCAGGAGGATAATACCAATAAACTGAGGTACAGTACACTCCTTAACAGGGGATTCCACAAATTGAACTGATAAAAAAAACAACAGTTCAAATTTCAGGCAATAAAGATAGTTCATAATGTTTGCTCAGGAGAATTACAATGATTAAGAACCATAGTTCACTGAATGACTCATTTCAGCCTGATTTTAAAAGGTATCCATTTTTGTAGTTAGCCTGGTAACCTGAAGACTCAGTACATGAAGCATAAAGATTAGAAAAACTTGAACTAGTCAAGCTTGTCATTCACCAGTCAAACCAACGGTTTGCTGCTTTGGTAAACACGTCATGTGTTTTCTTCTCCTGAGAAATTTCCTTAGAGTATTCAATGACAGTGTCTAGAGAAACAGCAATATCTGCCACCTTTGAAATTAAGCGTTCTTTAGTAATAAAATTGGAAGGAAGATAAGTGGAGCATTCAGTTTTGTTCAGCACCATGTCTAAGCTCCCAGCATGGACAAAAAGGAGATCTAAATCTGGGTGATGTTCCATTAAGTGTTTTTTGTTGAACACAAATGTTCTCATCGACCTGTTGGAGAATGGCTTCTGTCTGAACCCCTGGGAGGTCTGATTGGCTACACAATCCAATACTTTTCCCAATTTACAGATTAATTTCAAACTCCATACAACCGGAACCCCACCACCTCCCAGAGTAAGGCTCCAGTAACTCCATGGTTACTTTTCCTTGAGGAAAACTAAGTTACCATCATTATTTTGAGTTTGGTACTAATTTTTATTATTGATCACTTTAACCTCTGATTATAGGCGGTATTATAAGAACTTTCAGGGAATGTTATTTGGAAGGCAGGAGTGAGCCAAGCCAAATAGAAAATCTGAGACCAGTGAAGAGGCAGAACAAAGTAAGCAAATTCTCCACAGACCCAATATAGACCTTTGGGGGCATGAAAATAGGGGAACCTAGTGGTGTTCAAGCAGAGATCAGTTTAATTTGTTCCTCCTTAAGTCCACATAGCTCCTGAACAAAATCCTGTGGGGAACTTCTTTTTCTGTGGTCTCTTTATAGCATGTTGTATAAGAGTGAAAACCACATTTAGTAGAAAGGAACTTTACTGGATTTAACCCAGTGACATCATATAAGCAATTACTTGTACCCACCTAGGAAGTCCCCTAGGACTTCAGAATGTGATACCTGGAGCCATAATGTACCTTTTTGCAGGCATCTCACTAATAGGTTATTATTATTATTATTATTATTAATCTTATAATTGGCATATAACAATCGTACATGTTTATGGATGTCATGTTTCAATACATGTATACACTGTATAATGATCAAATCAGGGTAGTATATTTATCACTTTAAACACTTAGTTTTTGTAGTTATAACATTCAAAATCTTCTCTTACAGTTATCTTGAGATATACAACACATTATGATTAGCTACAGTCAACTGTACTGTGTAATAGAACACCAGAAAACATTTTTTCCTGTCTAACGATAACTTTGAACCCATTGACCAGCCTCTCCTCATCCCTCCTCATCCCTCCTCCACCCAGGTTTTTATGTTTGGTAGAAATTAGATTATTATTTGGAAAGATCAGGATAATACTTCCAGTGAGTGTAGGAAAGCAAATAACAGTGATATCTAGAATATCGTGCATAGCTTTGGACCCTTCCTTTGGAGTTTTAGGATGACTCTCATTAGGAACATAGAGAGGCACTGAACTACTGGAATTATTTCCCGATTTGGGGGCATCAGCCCATAAACCCGACAATTGCTCTGATTTCTTGCTAGAGCATAAGTACTTGACAAAGTCATCCACAGATTATGGTCCCATGGGTTTTCTTGTAAGGAAAGGGAAGCTAGCCAGGACATCAGGAAATAGGGTGAAAAAAGAAAAAAACTGAAGCTTTCATGATGGCAGAGAAGTCCTGATCAGAAATCTTAGGGATGTTGTTCACATCTAGGATGCCATCTGCTTCTAGGGAAAAACTACCCTGTCTGCTTTATTTTAAGGTCTTCAACAGGTATACAATTCCAGGAGTCTGTAGGGGGCCTTTTAAGTTGAGAGGTGTGGATCCAAGATTTGAGACCCTGAGGTTTTGCTGCAGAGGAGAGCTTGTTATGATTCTTTTCTGCAGAGTTCAAGAGCAGTCTGTCTCTGGTTTTATTTCCAAAATATCCATTCTTCAGTTTTTAAATTGTGAAAGATTTCATTGTCATCAGTTGGGAGTTATGAAGGGCTTCTTTTACCTGGTAAAAATATGCTTTGGCATTATGCATTAAAGCTTTGCACTACTAAGTCAATTCAGAGTTTATAAGAGTGGAAGAGAATAGGCCTTTCAGTAACTATTTCAATCTGTGTTTTCTAATGGGAGTGGATCTGACTGTCATCAACCAGTAATACCTATGACCAAGGCAATTCTATCAATTTAGTTAGCTTTTCCTAATGCTATTGTGCTTGTAAGACCTTATTTAACTCTTTCACAACTTGTCCAGTGAAATGAGAACCTCTATTGCTGGGAATTTCTCCAGGAGTGTCCCATAAAGGAAACACATTTCCTAGTAAACCTTTAGCTACTATTATATCTTTGGCCTTCCTGCATGGAAAAGCTTCTATACAACCAGAAAACATGCATTTAAGATGGCAGTTGAATGAAATCCACCTGTAAGTTTTCAAATGATCTAGGAAGTGCTGGAAATGTGTCACCTGAGGTTTTTATTATTTTACCAGGATTATAGGTTTGACAATCAGATATTAATTATAAACCATTTATTTAGCAATTTTATAACAGTTACCCTACTTGTGTTTTTTCACAACTTGGATTATTTTATCTCTTTCAAACTGACCTTTTAATAATGGAAGATTTAGCTGGGCTCGGTGGCTCAGCCTGTAATCCCGCGCCTAGGGAGGCTGAGGTGAGTGGATTGCCTGAGCCCACGGGTTCGAGACCCACCTGGGCAAATTGGTGAGACCTCATCTCTACAATAAATTTTTTAAAAAATTAGCCAGGTGTGGTAGCGCACGCCTGTAGTCCCAGCTACTTGGAAGGCTGAGGTGGAAGAATCGCCGGAGCCCAGCAGGTCGAGGCTGCAGTGGCTGCTCCCGGCCACTGCACTCCAGTCTGGGTGACAGAGTGAGACTCCAACTCAAAAATAAATAAATAAATAAAAAATAATGGAAGATTTAAGGACTCAGAAAATACCAGACAGCCATCCAGGCTTAACATGAATCCAGGCTTAATACTGGATTTACATTCTCTTAAATACCAAGTTTATTTCTCCAATTCAGGTGCATAGCATTGTTTATTAGTTTTTATCATAGATAATACGAAACTCATTCAAATTGCATATTTTAACAATTTTAGTACTGGCTGAGTTAGCATGAAATTCTGCCAAATCATTTCCTTGGTATATAACTATTTCTTGTTCCATTTGCTGTTGGGTTAGCATTTTTATGCACTAGTCAGTTTCCTCATTAGCGTCCTGGGAATTCATTCCCAGTCCAATGGCATGATTGTAAAGTGGTCAGAAACTTGTACTTGGCAGAGTTTTTTTCATGAATCTCCTTGAAAATGAAATAGGAAAGTA